TTCTCATGCTGCCTCAGCAGTTTTCTTCTGCATCTGACAAGGAGATGAAAGACTGCGCTAAATTGGACACACTCTTTAGGAGGATCACAACATACAGCAAGGTCCTTGATCTGAGCTCCTCTGAATTTTTCTGTGATTTAAATTGGTACTTTGGGAAAAAATTTAACGTGATTCTGATAAGAGACATTGAAAACTGTTTCAGAAATAAATGGCATAATGAGGACACTGTGAAAATCACACTATGTCTCTGAGCCTGCACCCGGTCAGCCATGACATCTGTTGTGACAAGTCTAAAGGCTGCAGGACAAGAGTGAGGGGGACGGTTCTGTGGCAGGTACAGTGCGTGTGTTCACACTGACTGCCACACTGGATCTACATGCAGAAACTTCCCGGTGACTGGTTAACACTGGTGGCTGGCTGAGGTTTGCTGCAGTGAACACACAAGGTGTGTTCAGTACCGGAAGACAGTCTGTGCTCTGCTGTTTCAGAATGAGAAAGAGGCATGCTCACCATCTGCCGTTTCCAGGACGCTCCCGCCGCACCCCCGAGGAACACCTCTCACAGAAGCCACCTGTGGACGCTCATAGTGCGAATGCTCCACGAGGCCCGTGGTGACGTCGGGAGGGGCAGAGTGAAGATCTGCTTTTGGAAAACACCCAAAATGAAAGTGGCCGTAAGTCACACAAGTACTAAACTGCATACAAACCCCATTAGTCTAAAGCTTCACTTGCTGAGCTCCAAGTGGGGAGTGTGGTATTCTGATTAATTGTCTTCCTGGCTGACCAAAGGCATACTGGGACCTGTGCACTCCCAGACGTGCTGTCTGGAGATCTGTGTGCACAGGTGACTCGATTTTTAACTGCATCTAGACTGAATACCACCAGCTAGAGCAGGGACAGGCGCAGAGTAAACCACAGCAGCCTGAGGAGAGTTTAGTTTAGAAACTCCCCCTCAAGGAAGCAGAAACAAATCTGAAATCAGTTGTCACTGGAACATTTTTTGTTATATTATGAACAAACAGGCAGACTCCCAACCCCCAGAAAAGTAGGTTGGAGGCCACACCTTTCCAGGCCTCAAAGAATAAGACTACAAAATTTAAACTGTCCCCACTGCCATTAAAAAATATCTGCAAAACTAAGAGACCACAATCAAATTCTTAAAGGAGACTATATTAGTGTAACATTCAAAGAGAGACTACATCAGATATAGAACATGTTTAAAAATCACTCTGTCCGTTGTCTGAATGTACACTTTTGTGTTTAATTTTCACCGCACCGCACGCTGACCTGTTCAGAATGCTGGCTGACTACACGTTGCTATGAGAATTATCGTTATAATTGGGTCTACCACCAGGAAAGGCACCACCAGTCTGTGTGACTGTCCGAAATCGTGCTCCACCACGACACTGAGTGCACGGACACTTGTCCACCTGTGGGAACCCACACTCATCTGGTTGGCGGAGGCTGGTGAACTGCTTAACGAATGCGCCTGCCAGTCCCACTGTGGCACTTTAACGCCTTAAATGTTCAAATTCTGATCATCTATCATCTCATCAACCTACGTACAATACAAAGTACGAACTTTTTAGATATGTAGAAAGGTGAAGTTAGTTATACGGAAGCAAAACGCAAACTCACTATTTACATAGCAGAATATATGTTCTGGGAAAATCTAAAGCTTTAATGACACGGTTTTCACAACTCTTGAAAAAGCTTGATGCTGATCAGATCAGCATTTTAAAGTATGTCCATCAGGAGGTTCTTTAATTTAAAAAGAAGTTTCCTCACTCTTCCAAATCTAGCAAAAAGAATAAATGATTTTAAAAGCACATGGAAAAACAGGAATGCATGGTAACTTACACACTACAAAGTAGTTTCAAAAATAGCTGCATAAAAATAAACTACATCAAAATAAAAATGAACTACTATAAGTACTGCTTTTATATATAGGTATTTTTAATTATGTCGAAATGTTTAATATATTTGATTTCCTTAATCCAAAACCAAAAATAATATA